TTCTCAACATCACCCGGGGCGGTGGGGTAGCCTAGTGGTTAAAGCGTCCGCTCGTCACGCTGAAGACCCGGGTTCAATTCCAAACATGGGAACAATGCGTGAAGCCCATTTCTGGTGTTCCCCGCCGTGATATTGCTGGAATATTGCTAAAAGCGGCGTAAAACCATACTCACTCACTCACTCACCCAACATGACTCACCCCACCCGCTCTCATCCATCTCACTCGCCCTTACACTTATCTCATTCAATCTGAACAACCTCCGCTAATCTTTCATTGACCTCACTCACAGCAGCCGCTCTGACCACGCCCTAACCGTGAAGTTCCGGGTTACAATTGATCTTCAGCAACCCATACTTGTATATACTTAATATATATATTAATTTTCTGAATGACTTTATTTCTGGGACAGAAATCAGTCTAAACGCTGCATTGAAAGAATAAATACGTTGAAGTACGGGATCGGGTGGTCAGGTGACTTGGTTGACACATGTCATGGGTTCCCAATTGCGCAGATCGATGCTCATGCTGTTGATCACTGGATTGTCTGGTCCAGACTCCATTATTTAGCAGACCGCCGTCATATAGCTGAAATATTGCCGAGTGCAGCGTTAAACAGCAAACAGAAAACACATGTGGGTTCATGATATAATACCAATGAATAATCCACGTCATTCGTTAATAATCTCTGTCACTCTCTTCACCTCATCCATCTCGCCCGCTCTTACACACATTATGTCCACTCACCTAACCCTAGTGACTGTTTTTGTTAACTCTTTGCCTGATCTACTTTGACAGAATGGTTGTGAACCTTCAGAGACACCACAGAACATGTTATAACTTGTGATGAGCTTCTTTGTATGCTGCTCTGTATTACCTACAGGGGTCCATGGATAACGTGCTGTGTGGCGTAGTAGCGCATCGGGTTCGATTTCAGTATTAGTGCACCTTGTACAGTCAAATGATATCCTCACTTTAAATTGGCTGCAATATTGCCAACTCACAAACCACACACTCACTTACCCAGGTCTCCTCCAATGTTGACTGAATAAAGCATTTCCTTCAATTCGAGGATCTATTATTTACAATTAAGTAGGTCACAACAATATGTCATTAAAACCGTAGCCCTGGGCGGCTTGGAAATTGTTCCCCCTGTGAAGCCCGTGCCCAACATTGTCACTAGCTATCCGCCCGACCTCTTACGCCAGAGTAATATCCGCCTCAACTCCAACTAGCGTCCGGCGCGCTCCGAATTGCTTCTCTTATCCGAGTGAATGCGCAAATAAAGCCGTGCTCTGTCCTCCATTAATTAGTCGGCGAGGGCCGGACTCCACTCCACAAAAGCCATCCTGGCATGCGCATCCAGCAGACGACAAACCCGAGCAGACGACAATGCAATAACAGAAGATGGACAATATAATGGAAGTTGTGTCACAATACGGGGGTTATTCTGGCACGATGCTCATTTTAATTTCGAAAGTAAGCATTAAACATACATGGAATGACATCTCGGTGTATGTAGTAAGTCGTCGCGGATTGATCTCAAGGGTGGTCGTGTGAAAAAGCCGTCAAAAGGCAGCACCGCGTATCGATCTGCTCGTACATCCTGCAGTCAGAGGTCATCAGAGAAAAGGTCAAGTCGTCTGTGAGAGTTAGATGCAGTCATCCGTGTTTCTATCATTGTCATCAAACTTATTAAAACATCGCATAATGTTTCTTCAAATACCAACAATAGCACTCCACCTTAATAAATTGTCTCTATCGGGCAACCTTCAGTGACCTTCAGTAAAATACTGTCAGTGTCTAGCTTTCCAGTAGGTCAGACCAAGACATCTGTTCGTGGATGAGTGAGTTTACAGATATAGATATTGTTATATCATACTTAAATAATATATATACATACAACCAACGCATGTCGTGACGTGAAATATAATGGTAGGGACGAATTGCCTCCCTTTTGTGCCCCACAATCCGATCATCAAGATGAATCCAAGATTTGTCCTGACAACTGGTATTTTCAGCACCATACCCGTCCTGGTGGTTTTCACCGAAGTCGTTCACGACAAAGTCCAGCATCACTTAGGGTGGTAGGGTAGCCTAGTGGTTAAAGCGTTCGCTCGTCCCGGAAACTCGGGTTCAATTCCTTACATGAATACAATGTGTGAAGCCAATTTCTGGTGTCCACCTGTCCGGATATTGTTGGAATATTGCTACAAAGCGGCGTAAAACTCAACTGACTCACACTTAGTCCTTCCCGTTCTCATATGCCGTGACATAATTTTAAAATTGTTGAAAGCGGCATCTAACTTTACTCACTCACTCAGTTTGAGCGATCACGATCGCAGGTGAACAACTCACTGTTGGGACAATAGAGACAGGTTGTTCGTCAGTATTCCAATAATTCAGGGTTTGATTCCATACTTGTGACCATGAACGCTCAAAGACCCGCTGCTGTAGTGTAGTGCAGCCAATTGAAGCTGAGATCTCTCAGCACCCTCAATTCTTGTTTGAATTCGAGCAAATGTGAGTGTGTTTCGTATAATTCCCCGTCCAATTATGTTGCAGTCTGGTCGTCAGGCGGGATCAAATTGATGTTCAGCAAACCCATACTTGTCGTAAGAGGCGACTAATCGGGTGGTCAGGCTCGCTGACCTGGTTGACACATGTCATCGGTTCCCAATTGCGTAGATCGATGCTCACGCTGTTGATCACTGGATTGTCTGGTCCAGACTCGATTATTTACAGACCGCCGCCATATAGCTGTAATATTGCTGAGTGTGTCGTAAAATTAAACTCACTCACCCTGGAGCACGGATACGGTGGTGGCAGATCAAGGGTTATAATCGATGTGAATCTTGGCTCGAACCCGCTACAAGCAGATCCTGTCAAACACGCAGCTCTGCACAGTGCCCCTATCTCTGGAGTGAGTGGATCGTCTCATTGTACATTACGTGGATGCACACACGTCAGTCCCACACAGGGGAAGGTGTTCCTACAGCCCTCTAACGTATTCATCCCAGAAGTGTGGGTTTATCATTCCCATATGTAAACGCCTATCAACCTATCCATGCCTGATGGGTGCTGACCCTACCAAATGCTTATAAGCGTTATGAAAACATCCAACTCCGATGTGAGCGGGTCTCTGATGTGTCTTCCTGTACTTATAAACATTTCAGCTTCCGATTCGAGTAAAGTCACGGTATGCACGTACATGCACGTGCGACATACAGTTTCTGTGGATTGATGATATATGTGTGTGTGTCTCGACATGTCTTTTTTCTTTGTATACGTTAATGATATACTCGCGTACCGACACATCAGACTAACATGTGAGTTAATGATATACCCGCGAATATCTACCGACACATTAGTCTAACATGTAGGTTAATGATATACTCGCGTACCGACACATCAGACTAACATGTGGGTTATTGATATACCCGCGAATATCTACCGACACATCTGACTACAACATGTGGGTTAATGATATACTCGCGTACCGACACATCAGACTAACATGTGGGTAAATGATATACTCGCGTATATCTACCGACACGTCAGACTAACATGTAGGTTAATGATATACTCGCGTATATCTACCGACACATCTGACTAACATGAGAGTTAATGATATACTCGCGTATATCTACCGACACATCTGACTAACATGTACGTTAATGATATACTCGCGTATATCTACCGACACATCAGACTAACATGTGGGTTAATGATATACCCACATATATCTACCGACACATCAGACTAACATGTGGGTTGATCATGTTCCCGAATATGTGTATCAAGATATCCGGCTGGTGATATACTCGCATGTGTATGTCAAGATTTCAATCTTATGTAGGTTGATGATATACTCGTTTGTGTCCATCAACATTTCCGTCTTCGATGTGTGGGTTAATGATATACCCGTATGTGTTCATCAGCATATCCGTCCTGAATGTGTCGGGTGATGACATACATGTATATTTTCATTTGTATGTCCGTTCAGCACATCCGTCTCCTAGTGTGGGTTGATGACATATACCTATGTGTTCATCAGCACATCCGTCTCCTAGGTGTGGGCTGATGACATATCTCCTAGGTGTGGGTTGATGACATACACTTATGTGTTCACCAGCCCATCCGTCTCTCCTTATGTGTTCATCAGCACATCCGTCTCCTAGTGTGGGTTGATGACATATACCTATGTGTTCATCAGCACATCCGTCTCCTAGGTGTGGGCTGATGACATATACTTATGTGTTCATCAGCACATCCGTCTCCTAGGTGTGGGCTGATGACATATACTTATGTGTTCATCAGCACATCCGTCTCCTAGGTGTGGGTTGATGACATACACATCAGCTTTAATCAGCATTGATTGTACCCGTGTGTGTCTATTGGCAAATCTGTTTTCATTCTATAGGTTGATTATGTCTCGTATGTGTGTATGGACATAATATATGTCAATATGTCAATATGTCCACGAACCGAGTGGGAATCGCATACCCTTGACTGCCCTCAGTTTACTTGGATTTTATTGAAATATTGTCCTACGATTTGACTGTGCGCTTTGTCAAGTAGTTCTAATACTATTTCTTAAATAAAATAATCGACAGAATTCAAAAAGAACTTAAAGCATCTGAAACTATGTCACGTGTGTCCAAACGTACAGCAGCGCATATACGATTACCATGGTTACTGAGGCCCGAGGGGTCAAAGGTGCCGTTTACTAAGGCCCGCTGTCCGCTGATTGGTCGAGTTCACTATCCGGGCGCAGTTTGGCGTAACAGGACTATAAATGCAATTCGTTCCCTGTGAACAGGTATGACTGCTTGAATGCCCGGTCCAAGTTTCCATTTCATTCCCGTTATAGCGCTGTGTTCGGTAGACGTGTCAGCCCAGCTGATGAAATCCGAGCTGGGTAACCATACCTGAAGTCGGCGAAGCGGCAATACAACTCAATCAATGCAGTCGATAAGGTCAATAAAAACATAAGCCAGGCTTGTAGTATTCGATTTGTTGTATTCATATCAGAACAATACGGATAAAAATATACACAATTACCGTCGCCACCCAACATCGAACAGTCGGACTCGTCGACAGATTCGGGTGACGGCTGACAAATGACCGCAGGCTGTACACAATAACAGTTGTCGTTAGGCGAGTAGCAGCAGTGCAGGCTAAACCCACGACAAATAAAAAAACATATATGAACGCACAAGAGTTGAATATGCAGCGCTGATTTACCCACAGAATTTGATTGAAGAGGTCGCTGGCAACGTTGTTGTCCTGCTTCGTCAATCCAATATTTACTATGATCATTTACAGAGTTCAGGAATATATATATTTGCATCTGCATTTAATTTGCATAAATTACAACTTGTCATTTGTGACAGTGTTTGCACATCGATGCGATCATAATGCCGTCATAGACGTCACATTAGACCACTCTTAAGACAGACTTTACAATTTAACAAACTTAAACATGTTACTGTGACAGCCCATTGAACTACCCACCATCACTTCTGAACAAATGTTACCTAGCGACGCCGATGCTGAAGTTTGATTGGTAAACATGGAATTCTGCACGAAATGAAGCATTTTCGCCATGAGGTTGAACATGTGGGTTGAAGCAAGGTGAAGGTCGCGATGACATAGGGGTGTGTGGTACAAGACGTTGCCGAAAACGTCAGGAATCTCCGCTCTGAAAACCGCATTCCGCGAAACCCTCATGGCTTAAACATATTGTCGGATGAAGGAATATATTATCCCTCTTCGCGACGCAAGGGATTTCAGAACGAGTGGTATAGCATACCTTTACATAACAGACTGGGAACTGTCCAAGGCCTGGTTATTTCTATGGACACGGGTTTTTACATTACACATGATCAAAGTCAGAGGGTTTGGAGTTACACAGAGGTTACAAGCTACTGTGAGATCCTTATTAAAGACAAGCAACGTTGCCACGTTGTTCAAGGGCGTACTACGAGAAAGTGTGAGTGGGGAGAAGTAGACTGGCGGGTTGAGTGTGTAAACTGAGGGTGGCAGGGTCGGTATGGACCTGGTGTGGAAGTTTGAAGATTAAGTGATTGGCCTGGACAATGTAGAGTGTGCGAGTCGTGTGTGCCGTATTTCATGCAACCTAAAACAATACTTCAGTTTTTCTGCCTGAAAGCTTCATGGAGGACAAAATGGTGGGTGCCTAAGGGACATAACTCTGCAACGAATCGTTGCACCTTAGGCGATAACGTCTTTCTTTTCAAGCTCTTATATGTGGAACACATTTCAACCACTATTATGGCATTTGAAAATGGTCGAAATTAAAGTGAAAAATACCTGTTAGCTTACCCTGGTAAAGAATTCCCCTGTTGGGTTCACGCGTGCAGGCACTTCACCGTACGGGATACCTAAGTAGTTAATGTCATTTACAAATAACTTTGCAAAGTTTTACATATACATGTATATCTTCTCATAAATTGATAAATTCATGTAAATGTCACCAGCCTCGCGCATAATACTTCTCCCATCCAACCTGCCCGACCTCAGACCAGTTCATGCTGTAGGCAGCGTGTACTTACTTTAGCAGTACTTATTGAGTGATGTTTAGGCTACGGTGATGATCTATACCTGGGTAATTTTTCCTGAATCACTAACCACGGTGTAATCATTACAGAAATATGTAAAATGTGACATTCCCACGATGAAAGTCAGTAAAGCTCAACGTTAACTCTCAATAGAGATTCGGGGTTAAGGTTGACCTAGGCCCCCTCTTGTTAATAGACTCGACCGGTTGTTGGAACAGTTTTCTACACGACGTATAACACACGAGTCTGCTACGGTCTGCTGCAGTTGAAACTCGCTGTTAATGATTGTTGGTGACCGTCTTCACTTTGACTGAACATGACTTGGGCCGGGCGAGCACAATCGATGTAAACAAGTCATGTAGGTCAATCCGTGACCTCATAGCCGGAAGCAGCACGTTGAGGGATTCTCCTCACACAAACATACTGCTTTCCTATCGCCTAGTGTTAGAGTAGGCGCCTGGGTGCGATCCTGTGACGTCACGCGGGAGAATTGTGTCACTGACAATAGACAGGTCGGCTGATTGTCTCAGTTCACTGTAGGCGTCATTCGGAGCCGACCTCTGGCTGATTGATCCGGCGCGATCAGTTTGGCCAAACACAGATAGAGGGAGCGCTTCCCTGCTGCCAGTGCTCGCTCGTCAGGCCGCGGGACAGTCGTGGCGACATGGTAGTGAGCTTGCTGACAACTAGGTCGCTAGGCCACAGACGAGTCCCAGGTTTTAAAAATGCTTACCGGATCCTCTCCTCACCAAAGTTATCCCAACACCGGGTGTCTGACATAATATGCTATACCTGCCGAGCCGGGCGTCATCAGTCGAGGTGTCCATCAAATTCAACACCCGTGACATGAACATCGCCCTAACACCCGGTGTTTGATACATAACAGTCTATCCAGTCCAAATCCAACATCTCTACATATTGTGTCTTTCCATATGTCGTATTTGGCATGGGAGTTAGGGTGTTCTCTAAATTATTACATTATTATTATGTGAACATTACTTCTTTGTTTGTGTGCTGGTATTTGCAGACGGTGTCCAAATGTCAACATCATACATACAAAACCGTCGTGTTGAAACTTACACTAAAACTGCCAGATCTGACTGGAACCACAAGCTGAGCCAGGCTGGGGTACGATCCACCAAACTTCTTCAGACACCTTACTCCTCAACCTACCGTGTTTTGTTCCCTTCTACACGAGCAAAATATGCACCCTCCCCGTCCCTTTTCCAAATTCCTGGACCCGCGTATTAAAAATATATTATTAAACAGAAATTGACCTCCAAGACGCAGCAGTAGGACGGCGGAAGTTGGTGATACAGCATCCCACAACCTTGTTTTATCCCGGTGTTGGTGTTTCGGGGCTGCAGTACTCGTGCCATGAAGTGCGTCACGCACTCACCGTAACCACCTTCCCTTCTCGGACGGATATTTTTCCCCGAGTCGTAATATCTGCCCCGCGTTATGGCGCCCTCAGCAATGTGGCATTTCGGCGGGGTTCCCAGTATACCTTCTACATGTGAAATACATTTACACAAACCTGCGCTCGGTTTAATATGACTCATCATACTGCAAAGGTAGTTGGGGTTTTAGACTGTAATTACCCAATTCCCGACAGAAATGAAAGTGTCATTAGATAAACTAACGCCCCCATCCCCCCACTTTGTCCTTCATGAGCTATACACTAGTCCGGTTTGTATTGACGTACATACTCCACTAGACAAATTTGCCTCACCAGTAAAATAAATCAGCCTTTTGACAGTCAGTCAATTGTTTTTATATTCAAGTGAGAGAGTCGAGTCATTATCGTCCCTGCTTCGCTAATTACTTACTTTATTAGCCTAGGGAGTAATGTAATCAGCGAGGAACTGCCAAATGACATTTTTTGCGAAAAAATCAATTCGTCTGTCTGGTTTCTAGAATATGTCCAGTCCATTCTCCGAATTAATCTGCGAGGTGAACTTGTGTAATTCCGAACGCGAGACTGTCTGAGGCGCGAGTTTCTCAATAGACGGTGTCAGCTGTGTCAGCCGCCGAATGAGGCCGATAAGCGAGTGAAGGTAGTCGTTAAGAGTACAGTATACACACGGCTGACAGATCAGCGTTCACTTTGGACTGCACGTCTAATGTACGAGGACTGGTCCTACCGAGCATCACCGCAGCATAAACAAATCAATATAATTCAGAATAACACGCTTGGCTGGGTATTTGGTGTAACCGAGTTCGGGGAGAGTTAACGAACTGAGCTCAACGGGTGACACTGCCACTGAAGAGCGCATGCACGACGTGCATCATTACCCCACACTTTCAAATCTTTGAAAATAAACAAAATAAAAAGTGTTTTAGTCAAATATCTCTTCCGTTGATGATGTGGGTGATACATTAAAAATAGAAATTATGAAAAGGGACAATTTGAGTTCAATTCGCAAGATATACTTGATAAGTAGGTGACGTTGATACGTGGGTGAAGTGGAACGTGGGAGGTCACACACGTCAATGAACCATGATATGAATGAGGATACGCTTCTTCTCGGGTTTGTAATGAGCTTGGGACAAGGATGCTGATTACTCGAATATGTAACGATACATCTCTCATAACATGCCAGTCAGGGGTACATTACTTCCGGTTTCGAGACTACGAGTAGCCTCAAACCCGTCGTTGCCATGGTGGTGTAATCTGGTACTTCACCGTCGTTTTCTATATACGCATGTATACATGACTACACTTATATTTTACCCTTTTTAGAACCAGAGACCTTGACCTTCATCAGGCCAGGGTCAGTCCATAACGCATGATGGGGGTGGGGTTACATGTGGGATATATACTGGTGGTCGACAACAGATGTGGCGAGAAAAATAGTACCTTTTGATTTAATCAAATCAAGCGTCAATTTGCTAATGATGGCGCCCAAAGGCGTCCTATGCTTGGTTGCGACCAGCCTAGCTGCTTGTTCTTGTGGTGCGGGTGGAAGCACATACCACAGTTGGTGGAGTAAGACGCGGGATGGGTTCCCCTGGGCTGCATATCCCGGTTGCTAGTACCACACGCGAGATGTGATTCAATACTGATTAATAAATGATACCCCTATAAGCGATAACAGCGGTGCTTGGTGTCCTACATGGGATAAAGACGCGAATAAGCGTTCTTTACTATACCCCCAGATACTCAAACACAGTAACAGACCTTCTAGCTTTGTTACAAGGACAAAAGCCCTTGAAAATTAGAAAACCCTTTTCCCCATTAGCTAAATTGTCAATAAAACCAGATAGATCACTCTTCGGATCAAATTTAACAACAGCTTGACACTCGAGTTAATAAATAAACATTAAATAGATTTTACGAATCGATGAATATCTAATGCGTGACTTTTTGCCTTTGTTATGACAGGTTAATATGTGTAAAGGGTATGAATAATTCGCCTGGAGTTGTGTGGGTGTTGTTGTCAGTTGCCAGGTAAACAGTATAGAAACAGCAGCTAGACTTGGCTCGCAGGAATGATAATACATGTTGGTAACACGACTGATAATGCGATGTGGGTACTTGAGATTGTCTTGTTGAGAATCGAACAAATAAATGAAAACTAACAATCACAGCCATTGTGTCAGCGCCTGACATTTGAGGGTTTTTTTCTTGATAGCATAAGATAACACAGCTAAACCAACTCCTACGCAGCCCTTCTGGACAACGTTTTAAACAGTACAACATCCAGATCACTTCAGTTTCGTTAATTGGAACATATCTAAATTTACATTACGCCTTTCCCCCATCCCTTGTGTTGTGTAATGCAGAGTTAAGAATTAACAGGACATCGACTGAATAGTGAGTGAGTAAGTAAGGTTTACGCCGCTTTTAGCAATATTCCAACAATACCAGGGCGGGGGACACCAGAACATGGGCTTCACAACTGAATAGTGAACGTCAGAAATATGTCGCTGAGGGTTAGAAGGACGTTTTCACAGAAGAGAGCAAAATGTATCAACAAGGCATGTCGACTGCGTTATTTAATAATAATAATAATACATGTAATTATCATTTGATGAGTATTTATAAAGCGCTGTATCCATCCACAAGGTGCGTGCTCAAAAGCACCAATTCCTTTAATGTCGATTTTGAAATAATCATCACGTGAGATTTGGCTCTATTAAATAATTACAGTGTAACCGTTATAGTAAATACTCACTACTTATGCCAAGTGAGTATTTCAGTGGAAACGTCCTGCTGACGCTTTCAGGCACGGATGTCACCAGCCTAATGCGGAGTCTTGACATGTATACTCCCCCCGTTACAACACGAGAGCGCCCGGTTAAAATTGTTGATAACAGGCCTGGTTGAAATTGGCGTGACATATTTATAGCTTTCGTGTGATTTGATATTGATATTTCGTGGATCCCTGCTTACACCGCTCGACTGAACCTGATTGAAATGGCAAGGTTCAATTCGATAGGTTTTGATATACGACCGCAAATATCTCACATCGATCGAATATAAGCGGGATGGATTGCCATATTACTGTTTGACCGAAGAAAGAGTGCTAGTTCACATTCATTTTCAATCTCAACAAGACATAAGGATGCAATAAGTCAATATATTTATCAAATACAAAAATAATTTGATTAAACCAATCTAAAATGTATGTCATCTATTTGAGCTACTGATTCCGGACCGCTCGTCCAAGGTATTAGCGTCCTCGAGATACTATTTGCTACAAAACTAGTTCACTGTGAAGCACAGATGACCGTGCCAGGAACTAACCTCGGCAGAATGACTTGGAGTAGTAAATCCAATATGGCGTCATCCGCCATCTTGAGATCGTCAGCAGTGTCTGTTACCATGGTTACCGAGCTATGGTCCCTGAAAACCTCGGAAATACACAGAAGCGGGTACAGATGATGCCCGAACTACAGTTCATGCAGTCAGTCCTGCGACGTCATACCACGTTGCACGTGAATGCGTCAGTCACGTGTCCAAGTATCACTTCTCAAAAGAGCGACATCACTACTCCCAAGACCCTGTCGCTTTGCGTCCTGCGTTGCTGAGGATGTACGTAGCACAAGATGCCATACTCCCAAGACTATCCACAATATCCGAGACCCACTCCCGCCGCCCGTCAGGCCAGCGAAGCGGAGAAAGACACACACGAGGTAGATTATGATGATGACCATGTACTCAACACAGCGGGTGTCATGTACGATCGTCCAGAGTGACACAATGCAGCCTCCCTGCAAGGTTTGCGTACGGTGAAAACATCACACTCAACGCCATCGTGCCAAGTCGCTAAGTCACGTCAGCACTCGGGATTCACAATCGCGGCTGATTTTTGCGATCACAAATAGTGAATTCCGTGTATGTACATATACACATTGTGGAACGACTGGCGTTGTTTGCCCTGGAACAGATCCTTCCACACACAGTTCTATGTGTCAAATATACAACTCTTGTCCCTGGCAAGGAAGTATCATTGTTTACCCAGAATTTCGTCAAGCAAATTAAAATTGTCACCTTGCACTATGCTATCGAAGAAATCTGGGCTTGTATTCTGAGCATTGTCTAAATAGTTCATGAAATCGTCCTGTGTGGACCCGGAGGCAGGGTAGCCAGATTGTCCTTGGGTAGCACTTGTTGGAACAGCCCCTGAGGGCACCGCACCTGACATCACCGACGACGACATGTTATACGCGGCAGTGGTCTGGGAGTTGGGGGCAGCGCCCGGCCTCATCGTGACTCTCTGAGCCATTTGCTGTTGCATCAACACCTGGCTGCCATTTTGCATCATGGCCGCCTGACTGGGCGGCATGGAGTTCATCTGTGGCCTCTGCTGTTGCTGTTGCATCAATCCAGCTTGGCTTGGGCCACCACTGTTTGGATAGGGTCCGTACTGCATCATGCCTGACGCAGACATAGCGGCAGCCTGAGTCATAGTGGCCTGTCCCGGATGTCGCGTTCCTGGCATCATCGGCCGCGGCCACTCTGCACTTCTTGGCTGGGAAATATTCAGGCCATCAGGCCCCACATTCACATTTGGAGGTCTCTGATTGCGCATTATTGCACTGGTAAAAGTTGATGTTGACTGTGACCTTGACGCGGCCTGGGGAGGAGTAGGTCCATTTCCTGCCTGGTACTGGGGCCGCTGCATCTGCTGCCCCATCGGTCCAGCCCGGGAAGGTCCCCTCCTCCCCTGCCACCGTACTAGACTGCATGGACTGTATGGCAGATAGGTGAGCAGCCTGCATCATGCCATTTTGAGTCTGAGATGACGTCACTTCACTTTTAACTGCACCATAAGCAGTTTGATTCACCATGTTTTGCATCGTTCTCAGGGGATTCGGGCCCCCCTCCCGTAGCAGAGCTGCCGAACTGACCACTAGCGTTTGGATGCATGTGAGGAGTTGACACTGGGGGAACTTTGTACTCTGGAGGCGGGCGATTCATATACTGGGCTGGCATCTGCCCAGTCTGCTGAGACTGTTGCTGTTCAATGAGATGCAGCCTCTGCTCTCGCATCTTCTCCATCTGCTGCATGTTCATCTGCTCCGTCATCATCTGCGGCGGTTGCTGCTGCTGCTGCTGGCTCTGCGGTGGATGCGGCGTCATCATGAAGGATTGTTGCTGCGTGAGTGAGATCTGTTGCGGTGGCTGCTGCATCTGAAGCTGCTGCGTCTGCGACAGCTGCATATGATGCTGACCATGTGACACTTGCATATGCTGCGTCTGGGTGATCTGCATCTGCGGGTTGGGCGACTGGTTAAAGTGAGTTCGCACCTGGTTTTGAAGTTGCTGAAGGGAGGACGGTTGCTGCGGCTGTTGCCCATTGCCGTGGTCCGAGAAATGCGTCAAAGGTTTGGTTCCCCCCATACGTCAACATCTCCTTGTTCTGTATGTGCTGTGGATATTGAGAAGACTGAGTCTCTGGCATATGTGACTGGGGAGGAAACGGGAAGTTCCCCGCCTGTTGGGACTGTCCCTGCTGTTGCTGTTGCTGTTGTTGCTGTTGCAATGGAGAATACCCCTGATGCTGCTGGAAATTCACATAGCCATTACCCCTTTGGTAGTTAGGGTCACTGTAAGGGTCAATAGAGGGTGATTTCATCGGGTAACCTGGACTGTGAGACTGGTTCTGGTGATGGGCTGCCATTTGTTTAAGAGTCTCTGCAGCGGGCCCAGTGCCCTCAGACATACTAGACATGGATGGATTCCTCAAAGGTGGAGGAACAACACTACTTGAGTCATACATATTCAAACCACTTCCCGGCTCAGGGAAGGGTTTCGACAGACCAGGAGACTGAATAGTAGGACCGAACATATCAGTCTGAGATTCACATTGTACTTTCACATTGTCATATATCTCATCAAATTTATCAAGTTCCTTTATTATATCTGGGGGTATTTCACCCTCCTCTTTCTCCAAAGTATCAAGGATATTCTGAAGCTCCTCTACATCGCCAACGTCAAAGATTCTATCCTGTGAAGCCTGTCCTGACTGATTGTCAGCGTGACTATGTCCGTGGGTGTCTTCAGGAGGCTCCTGTTTACACTCAACGCTTGTATGGATGCTACTGACACTGGGTTTAGGGGAGTCAGCCGCGGAACTGTAAGTCTTGGTACTGACTGTAACGTTTGTGTGGATTGTCTGAGTATTCTCTGGCCGGGATTTGATCTGTTGGACAATCTTCACTGACAAATGGGGCAGTTGGTTGTTGTCAATACACGAATTTCCCCCGACACTGTTTTTGTTCACAGGGGATTCCTGTTCGTCAAAGTTGTACGCGCTCTCGGCGGGGTTAGGCTCGGAAGCTGTGCCGTCGATTTTCTGCTTCAGTTTTTTCTGAAATATAGGAAAAAACAGTTTGACATACAGTTGAAAACAATAAGATTGGGCGAGAAGATTAGACTACACAATAGCTCATCCCATTTCGTCTCTCTGTCAATAAATCTGCAAGGCACTAACAGTTAAAAGCGACCACTTCTCATGAATAAGCAAGCACCGACCACGTTTGAGGGAAGAGCCGATATTAACGAAGACCGGCCTGCTTAGTCTGAAATCGTTCAATAAAATTGCTAATCAGAGTGAAGTCCCTCTCAGCTGAAGTGAGCAGTCGGGGGACAATGGCTTATAATAGGGGACAGAGTGATCGCTCTTCCCCAACTAAGGTACACGGTGCCGACGAAGAAATTACTGCAATTTATCACTGTTCCCGCTAGAACTAATCCTGCAATGTACACTCGCGAGTTAATACTATAATTGACAATCTCTAGTATCATATTTTCCAAGTCTGCAAATAAACGCTACAAATACTCGCTCCTTTTGATAAGAAGCGACCCAGATACTGAGTGTGAAATACGCCGATGACATAAACAGTCTGCGCGCAGATAAAAACAGATTATTCCGATTAACTGCAAAGCAATATTTATGAAATACACTAAATCGTAAGTGCTGTGCGACTAAAAACGTATCTTTACTGATAGTTATATGAATGACACCCATCGCATTAAAGCTGTTAAAATAAAACAGATATAAAATATGTCGTAAATATACACCTATTGTGCAATGTACATAACATGTCAATCAGGTTTTCTTTTAGATAGCTAAAGAAGATCATAAATTTTCGTCTCTTATCACCGTCTGAAAAATCACGCCTAAGAAAAAAATATCAGGCTAGGAATACCCAGGAAGAAAATTGTGTTGAGACATCGCAAAATACATTTTCGATTATTGAACAGAAACGACATTCCTTGACGCCAAAGGTGCACCAGTGAGTAGAGTTTTACGCCGCTTTCATTAATGTTCTATCAAGTTCGGGTAAAAATCGGTTAAAGGGTAATGTGTCGCGTTCAAGACTACTGCAGAGAAATGTGGAAACTCATGTTCTCTGCCACTCTCTGACCAGACCCTGTTCTCTCCCACTCTCTGACCAGACCCTGTTCTCTGCCTCTGACCAGACCCTGTTCTCTCCCGCTCTCTGACCAGATCCTGTTCTCTCCCACTCTCTGACCAGACCCTGTTCTCTCCCACTCTCTGACCAGACCCTGTTCTCTCCCACTCTCTGACCAGACCCTGTTCTCTCCCACTCTCTGACCAGATCCTGTTCTCTCCCACTCTCTGACCAGACCCTGTTCTCTCCCACTCTCTGACCAGACCCTGTTCTCTCCCGCTCTCTGACCAGACCCTGTTCTCTCCCGCTCTCTGACCAGACCCTGTTCTCTCCCACTCTCTGACCAGACCCTGTTCTCTCCCACTCTCTGACCAGACCCTGTTCTCTCCCACTCTCTGACCAGACCCTGTTCTCTCCCACTCTCTGACCAGACCCTGTTCTCTCCCACTCTCTGACCAGACCCTGTTCAAGGCAGAATCCCTATCCGGGGACCACTGACACATCAATATCACGGCAGGGGACACCAAAAATGAGCTCTATTTTACCCTTGTGTGGAATCGAACCGGTCCTTTGGTGTGTCCAGCAAAAGCTTTGATCACTGGACTACCCCGTCACTCATTCAAGACAAGCAATACAATAATGGTAGAGAATGTTCGGTGTCGGTGAGTGGAGAGAATGATTCCCCAAGCTCTAATAGGTGACTGGTGTATCTGCCAACTCCCGTCAGTCCTGTACATTAAATATTGGGTAATAAGGGATAAACTCTTCTCCCTCGCTAACTGGGGTATCAGAACAAGGACGACTATTTCAGAACGATGTTCTTCATGCCACGTGTGTTCGCGCAACTGTCTCACAGTCTCTGAACCGCATTATGTTCCCTTCCGCCCAGCCCTTTCTGCAATGCTAAAGCCTTAAATGAAGCAAGTCTACATTTCCTCAATTCCCGAATCTCCAATCTCAGTGGGACTCCTTTTCAATATAAAAGGAATTATTTGTTTCTGTCAAAATAGTGTTAATACGCGTTAGTTTTGGGCAACAGAAATCACTGTACAGTTAGTGAGTGAGTATGGCATTACAATGCTTTCAGGCCGTTCCTATCTTTCATCCAATATTATAAACATACTCCTCACGACAGGAGGATGACGAGCGTCATTAGTGAGTGAGTATAGCTTTACGCCGCTTTCAGAATGTCTAGACCCAACTCACGGCGTGGTACACAGAAATAGTCTTGGAGTGGACGGAACAAGGTCGTAACGAGACAACTGTATCAGAAGTGCAGCACATATAAACTGTCCTTACATTACCTGGCACCGTGCCTCCGACTCGACTCCCAAACCCTGTCTCTTGGGGACAATCTCATGCCCGCATTATGTGATAACAAATCAAACGAGACGCTAAATATTTCGTAAAGTCAGATTTCCCTTAACCAATCCGTGGGCTCCACTTCCATCATCACACCCAACCAAATCAGCCCCTTCATCAAAGACATATCTTCATAACCGTCCAGCACTATGAACGTAAACCCACTGTACTAGTTATCAAATATTTACCGCCTGTTTGTTGTGATCTGTTCAGAAACCCAACCCACACCGTTCTTGTAGGTACGCTTTATCAATGATTAACCAGTCGGCGTGGTGACCACCTGGCTTGCTAAGCTATGTAGCTGTCCGCACTACCAGGTCGTTATATATACATGAATCATATTTTCCGTTAATAATTAACGTTGCATCCCTCGAAGACGGCCCGTGAGCGGGCTGATCAGTCAATCAAAACTCTGCGGCATCGCCGACACGGCTCCGCTCATATTTGTGTTCAGGAGCGTGACAGACTCCGTCTCTGATTGTTGTAGAAGCTCCTTGCACTTCGGACGATGCTATTAATTTCCACGTTGATATCCCACAACTGTGTAACCAGCAAACCCTTGAGGTCAGCGTCCTCCAGGAACGTGGAGAGCCCACGAGGCGTTGACTCACAACTGACACAAATTATTTACAACTACAAAGAGTACAGTAGGTGAGTATGTTTTTACGCCGCTTTTAGGAATATTCCCGCAATAGCACGGGTGGGGGAAAAAGGAGACACTAGAAATGAGCTTCACACATTGTACCCATATGAACAATCGAACCGGGTCTTCGGGGTGGCGAGCGAACACTATAACTACTAGGACACCCCACCACAAAGTGTACAGGTATAACAAGTCGACAAAGTGTAATATTTGAGAGAGAGACAGGTGCAATAGCTCTCAAAACTGGGGGAATTAATTACAGATTTAGTGCTTTAATTTTGTGTTGCAAATTACAGCAAATTTACCAATAAAACAGTTGGGTGTTTGAACGAAACGTTCTCTATAACACTGCACATGTTGGGAATCGACCCACTTTCTGCAGTTCAAAGCCAACAAAACTGACCACAAGGCCACTTGTCCTCACAGTTAAGATAAGGGTGTTTAATATACCAACATCGCGTGGCTGTTACTTCAAATAGCTTTCCCATAACGCTACCATCACTGGCTGTTTAAACTTAAAGTATCAAATGCATTATCGCGACCCTCGGTTATGGCAAGATAGAATGGTTCTCAATCTGTCATAGACCATTAACCCAAGAAAAAGTATCAAAGGCTATTCATTCACAGTAAAAACTTAAAATCCAGTAATTATGGTATCTTGTTTTCCGCCTAGTCCAAAAATGTCGCAGAACCGTCGCAGAGAGGTACCGAACATGACGAAGATGTACACAACTCGTCCGAGATTCCGCGAGATTTAGATCCAGTTGCGTGAACTCGGCCTTTTGCTGTTTCTGTCTTCGTTTAGTTTTCACATTTTTACTTAAAGCGTCACTTTATCAACATTTGCTTCTTTCGAGAGAGATTTATTTGAGTAAATATATTGTTTTTGCTTGATTTATCAGCCGTGGTATTGGTTTTATCCAATGATGGTGTTTTTCTTGCAGTGGCCGTCTAGAAAACGTGAGATGTCTTCAAAACCCAATCTGGCTTAATGTAAGCAAGCATCAGTTGCGTGTTTATTAAACACTGGACACGTGTGACCGACTAGTTCGGCATTGTGGTCCTTACCCCATCAGCCATACTTCATACAGCCACATTTCGATGTTGTGAGGTGCGGGCGTATGTTTGTGGGGGAACTTCAATGACGCAGTTCTCAATATGACAGTGATTGAGTTGGGAGTTTATGTCACTTTGACCTATGTTTCAGTCATACTAGCAGTAGGGTAGCCTAGTGGTTACAGCATTCGTACGTCAATCCGAAAACTAGGTTCGATTCCCCACATGGGTACAACATGTGAAGCCATTTCAGGTGTCCTCCGTGGTGATATACCTGGAATATTTCTAAAAACGGAATAAAACCATAGTCGCTCACTTGTATCGCCGTAGTACCAGTGCTTTTGGTGACAAAGTCCGAAATAAGGGAAGTTCCTGAAGTTCCCCACGCTGGTGACTGACCCCACCGTGTTGTCAGTCCTGGGGATATTTAATATCACAGAGCTCCAGATAAGATTAAGCTCATGTGGTTACTGTACCCACTGTATCTTTTGGAGTGGGTATTATGAATGTTGAGTGGGTATTTCATTTTCCGTTACCCACTGCTTTCAAATATGTGTGTATTTCAGTCATTTTACTCACCTAAATACTAGTATTATGTGACTGAGTAAGTTTACTAAGCAGGTATGTTCTGCCTTATGTCATACCTAATCAAAACCAACTTAAATATAATGGAAATGATTTCATAAAAAATCACTCATCCTATACTGACAGTACAACACTTGTCCTATACTAACAGTACAACTTGATAGCAATAGATGTCTTTTCATTACGCAAGCGATTTTTATAAATATATTCCGTACGCATTTGTTTTAAACTTTTTGCGTATCTAACATTTTAAATGCGTAATTGGTACGCAACAATTATTTTTCAATGCGTAATTGGAAATTTTAT